GCCCTGCGGCCTGCCCCGGCCCCGGGAAGCGGCCGTGCGGGCTGGCCCCGGGAGCCTTTGGGTTTATCCGCTTGGTGTTTGGGGGATGCATCAGTAGAGAAGAAGGTCTGGGGCTGCGGCTGGAGGACCCTGCGGGGCCTGTTACACTAACCAGTGCTTCTGTGGCTCCAGGTTTGAGGACTGGATTCGCTTGGGAAGTAACAGCGGTTGTTGCCTTGTTATATCTACAAGCAGTTTTTAATCTCCTAGTGTTATTGCAAATAGGAAAAAATAGCAGAGAAGGTACGTACGTGTATACAACCGGCGTAATTTTGACTAAAGTCTTAAGTCTTGTGAAAGTGATAATGTGCTCTTATGGATCAGGAAACTAAACTTTGGCTCTCAAAACTTCCATGTTTTTATAGGCATTGCTGTTTTTCCTTCTGCTGCCAGGCGATCAGTGGGTATCTGTGGGAGATTTGGCACGTACTCCCGTTGGGGACTGGCACGAGTTGATAAGCACTCGGCGTGATGCAAGCAGCGTACATTTCACTGAATGCAGGCAATTGTTGCTCTCTAGTAATTCCCTTCATTCAGAGGCTGTCTCGCTGATCTCTTGCTCTTTTTTCTTCCTCTAAATGAGAAGCAAAAGTGTGGAGTGCTATGTGAACGCTAATGAGGTATATAGGATAATGAAGTGTAACTTGGTCTTGTAGCCTCTGTTTTGAAATGTGTGCTATGCTGTCAGTGGTGAAGAAGTTCCAATCTGTAACCACAATTCAGAAATAGCATGTATTAGTGCCATTTACTGTAAAAGAAGGGATACATCTTTTTTTAAACCCATTACATTCAGATTCATGCAACTATCTTTACAGATTGGACATGTGAAGTTACTGAGGGACAGTATTTGGCCTACTGGGGAGTTTTTTAAGATTTGGCAATAATCTGTTTAGAGATAGGCTTTCTTAAAGCCTTAATTGCATGCGGGTGTGTGTACTTGTAAAAGTTGTACAAAGGATGTAGTTCATACAGGGTGTTTTTTAATTCTTTCAGTGTAGACTACTGTAAACTGTGTTTCCCATAAATCTTACCCCAGAATATATTTTTGGAAGCAACAGGCTTCAAAAGAAGCACCACAGTAGGTAAAAGAGTGAAAAATGGTTTGTTCACTGATATATTGTCCTTGAAGCCAGGCTTAAAAGTTAGTGAGGGTATGATTCATGTGTGTATTTGTGTGGATTTAAGACTCATGCAACTCTTCTGACAGCACCACCAGCTAAGTGTCTCACTCAGCAGCATGGCTCTGTAACAGTGGGAGCTCTTTGGCTCAGTGATTTTACTCCAGATAAGCAATCTTTTAACTGCTCACCCAGTGAAAGTACCTTACTGCAAACTTGAGAACTGAATTAATTTGAATGTTTTGTTTGAGAGTGTCACCTTTGCATTTCTGCTTTCCAGCTGCCTTCCTGAGAGATGAGATGTAATTCTTAGTTTTAGTATGCTGGTGTGGAGGGGACTTTTACTGGGAACATGACAGCCAGATATAATTCTAGATGTTCATATTTGTTCCCTTTCTACTCATATATTCTGAGAGCCATGTAGAAATGTGCATGTAGCATCATGAATGCAGTTTTCTTAGCTGCTGTTCACCATGAAGAGAGCAATTCTCTTGTTTTGCTTTATAGGTGGGGATCCTGGTGGGGGCGGGGGTGGGGGGGATATTCCTGCCAGCTAGCCTTAGACTCCTGATGGAGACTATGCTTCTGTAATCTATGAAAAGGTAATGCTCATCACTTTTCCCTGGGGTACTCTTTGCTTTCATTTGAGAGATCCATGGACACTAGAAACTGGAAAGCCCAAGTAATCTGAAGCTAGGCAGTGATACTCCAGAGGATTTGCCTAATGCAGCAAAACTAGTCAGTCAAAATACAAATATACTAGATCTCAGTCTTGGGGATAAGCATTTTCTGTCTGTAAATGGTTTAGAACTGTGTAAATGGAAGAGTGGAAGTGAAAGCAATCTTGTGATGCTTTTGACTGTCAGGTATTGTTGTAAATCGTGTATGCTTCATCTTTCTCTTCTCTTAGGAGACAAGTGTCTCAACACCTGCCAGGAAACAGGAGACTTCACTCTGAAGTAACTGATAAACAAGTGTGAAGCATGAGGATCAACTCAGCTATTCAGGCTGCTATTGACCTCACAGCAGGAGCTGCAGGTAAGCTAGAGAACTTAATTGCACAAAACTTCTGAGAGACAGAATAATAATGCCTTTGAGCATTAATAATTTGAGCAATAATAATGAATACCGTTGAGAAATGTAAAAGCAGTTTCCAATTGCTATAACAAGCCTTGCCTTCTGTATTTTAAGGACATGGAGGTGAAGCAGCTGACCTCAGCTAGTGTTGTAACTGCATCACTATCACCCTTCCCTGGTAAAACCCCTGCCACACAGTGAAGGTGTAAGCCTTATTCCAGACTAATAATTTTCCAGAAGGAGATTTAAGTTTCAGTGTTAGTTCTCGTGCTTACATGAGTTTAAGAATTGGTCACAAGCAGAGTTTTGGAATGAACTTAAACAGTGTGTTGAGTGGTTGAGATGCTCCTTTTGTCACAGGAACCTGCTCTAATTGAAACAGGCAAGAGACTCTGTGAAGGGTTATTAGCTCAGACAACATCCTGATGTGAATCTTCAAAAGCTAGGAAGCTTAGTAGTAGGACTAATGATGAATTCATTCAACTAACTTCCAGTTAAGTCTGTGCTATAAAGTTTTGCTGAACCAGTTGTGACAGTCACAAATGTGGAAACAGTTGCATTGTCTCACTAACATTACCATGTTGGTAATGTCCGTGGCTGAGGGGTGAATCGGTTTTTAACTCTGCCAAAGAAAAGAGGTCTTTTTGACACTTCTAAACTGGCAGTGTTTATACAGAAAAGGTGGAAGGAAAGATTTGTCTAATGTACTCTTGGAAGCAGTCTAAACAATTTAATAGGTTTTTTTCCCATACAACAGCTAATGCAGTTGGTTGGTCCTTTTATGATGGTATTAATGGTGTTAAGTGCATTTTAAGGGTAGTTATTTGAGGTCATTTGTCAGACTGGAGTTAACCTTAGTGCACTTTGAAATCAAGGGGTGACAGATAACATGAGTCCAGTGTGGCACCTTCATAAAGCATTCCATCTACGGCCACATTTTGCCCAGGTAATACCTGCTTTGTTAGCCTTTGTAAAAATTTGTTAATTTACTAGACAACACTCTTTCTCTGCAAGTGAAGTGTTTCTGCTATTATTCTTTTATTGCCTTATAAAAAATGTTACTGTTAGTCTGTTTATTCTCCTTGGGTTTTGGATCTTCAGTAAATAAGTGTCCTGGTTCAGCTAGGATAGGGTTAAGTTTCCCCAGCAGTGGAGAGGGAGCTCTAGCTGGGTACCATGCTGAAGTCATGTTCGGGTGCCCAAGTGGAGAAGAGCATTGGGACGGTTTGTGTTCCTGGTTGGTACCTTCACTCAGTACCCTCACTTGCTGTATTCCGTGCAGTATATCTCCTGTTATTGTTGTTGTTCAGTTTGTTGTTGCACTGTTGTATTAAATTTTTCCTTATCTCATCCCCGGGGTTTGTATCTCACTCCTTGCCCTGTCTGGTCTGAGGGTGGAGGAGGGACAGTGGCAGCATGGTCTTGGGTCCCAGCAGGGCCTAAACCACCACAATAGCTATTATCTGCTCTATTTCCCAAAGTAGTAACTTCATATATGTGCAGTTCTTGATGTTTTTGTGGGTGTTCCTAGGTGCTTAAATAGGAGGTGTGATTGCATTTCTTCCTCGTACTTCAGCTGAGGAATGGTTAATGTCCAGGGCAGTGGAGCACTCTGGCTTAGAAGCTGTCTTTCTGAGTTGAAGCTCTTGGTGACTACAAGAGCTGGAAACTAGCATCAGCTTAGAAATCCATTTCTTGGCGATACTGTTCCATGCTCACACTCAGGCTAACAGGGCATGCACTTGAGGTTTCCCTGGTTTTGGCAGTATTGCTTAGAGGATCTTGGAGTTAATTATGCTGTTTTCTTCTTTGGTAAAGTTCTCCTTCCTTTGAATAAGATGAAGGAAGTCAGACCTCTTTGAAAATTACTTCAGTAATCCTAAATCATTGTTCTTTGCTACTTCCACATACTTGCTTTGTATTTGTTCATTCTATGTTCATTGGTAGTGCTCATTTGTGTTACATATGTGTCTGTACCCTTTAGAAAAGTGTTATTTAGGCAAACAGCTAGTTCCTCCAGCAAATGCACAACCTGGTTTTACCTTTCTCTCCAGATATTTGTCCCAGTATGTCATTACTTACCAGTTAGTCAAGACTGTAAGTTCTGAACAATAAGTCCTTCAGCTGCCTGTGGGTCATAGTTCTTTGCCTAGGATCTGAGCAACCTCTGATCACTTTACTGATTAAGTAGAATTCTTTTCCCCACTGTTCCCATGTCATTATTATAACCACATTTGTCTGAACATTCAAGCATGGTTGACTTTTTGGGTTTTTTTCTGGTTTGTTTTGTTTGGGTTTTTTTTCACTGTATTGCTGGCTGGAAGAATTGTTTTCTTTAATGTTTTAGATACTAATTGTGACTCTTGGTCTTTACCTTGAAGCTTACAAAGTTCATTGCTGTAGTTTACTGGGCTTCTTGTGCTACCTCCAATGACAGCATAAGGAGAGCCCTTTCTCTTTTTGGAACAGGTGTTCAGTCAGCTCCCAATTTTTTAGTTTTGCATGCCCAAGACCACTCCTGGTTTTCTTGAGCTTCTTCCAACAGCCATTATTTTACTACACATGGATGTTTTAGGTCTGCCTTTACACAGGAACCTGGCATTTGTCCTCTAGATTAAAATCTACCTGACTTGCCTGCAGGTGGCATTGGCTGAGCCTTTCCAGCTCTGCTTCTCGTCTGAGACTGACATGGGTGTTACTGGTCAGAGCCAGCTACTTTCTTCCTTGGTTATTCCTCACAAAGCTCTTCATGTTTCCTTGCATAATTTGCTCTGAAGCTTTTAATGATCCATTTGAGGTTTTATGGCAGCTAGATCTTTAGTTCCTCTTAAAGTCCTGAAGTACATCTTTACAGAGCAGCAGCAATATAACATGAGTAAAATTGCCTGAAAATAACCCTGGTTATTTGCTTACTCTTATTCTCCCCACTTAGAAGAAAAATAACTAATCTTAATTGGATTCACACATATGCTTCTATTTCAGTTTCTTTACTTTATCTGCATTTACAGGTAATTACTTCTGTTTCATAGCTGAAAAAATCATCTTGTTAACTTGTTCTCTTTACAATATATGCATGTCAGCTGTGCTTTAAATGTCAGCTAAACATTTAAAGATGATCTTCCATTTTAGGATAGTTCTTATCTCTTGCTAAAAAAGCAAAATCATAAAGTCTGTATAAGGTACACCTATCATATGCTTCCTCTTAGTTACTGGCTTCTAATAGATTGCTGTCAGTGTACGTGGGTATTTCTTACTGAAAAAGTGTAATGTTAGCTCTTCCTGCAGACTTCTGAATTGAGTTAGTTCATGTAGAAGAACAGTGCACTGAGGGAGAAGTGATTACTGGTATTGATTGAAATATCTCACAGATTTTCAGGGTATTGACCTTGCAGTTCAGTTTGGAAAAGATAACAGGTTGAGGAACTTTGCCCTTTTGCCCTTTTTCAGCTTATACTGGACACTTTCTTCTAGTATGTAGGAATAAATGCACTTAAGAGTCATCTGGAGTTTTGAACTAAAGGGATTGAGTCTTTGGTTAACAATTTGTCTCATCTGTTTTAGCACTATCTCAGCAGTGTTCCTCTTGTCCTGGAGGAGTCTTTGTCTCACTTGATTCAAAATCTGTCAGGTTGTTGTTATTAGAATGTAAAATTGGATGTCTTCTGAACCACTGCATTAATGAACAAGGGAAAATGTTGCTTAACTCTACACAGGTGACTTGATTTTCAGAACAATATCTCTAATTCAGTACCTGTTTATGTAGGTGAATCAATTCATTTAGATTCTTGCTCTTAATAAGGTAAAGAAATGCTTAATGAGACTTAAGCTGTTACTGCTTTTATGCATGGTTTTTCTTCAGGTAACTAAATTCACCAATGATAACTGATGCCATTGTGCTGAAATCAGTGCAGTTGTCTTTTCCTGTGGAGAATTAATTGTTGCTTTCTGTGTGATTTTCCTAATAGTGCCGTTTGTGTATAGATGTTTCAGTTGTGATAACCTTCATCCACCCTCTTCCACCGCTTGTTTAGGTGGGACAGCATGTGTGCTGACTGGCCAGCCCTTTGACACTGCAAAGGTGAAGATGCAGACATTCCCCAACATGTACAAAGGAATTGTAGACTGTTTTGTGAAAACCTACAAGCAAGTGGGGTTTCAAGGCTTCTACAAGGGAACTACACCAGCACTTGTGGCCAACATTGCAGAGAACTCTGTTCTGTTCATGTGCTATGGATTTTGCCAACAAATTGTGAGAAGAATTGTCGGAGTAGACAGGAAAACAAAGCTCAGGTTAGTTATAGAAATCTGTTTCGGATTTTAAAGGAAATAAAAACTATGCAACTGCTATTTGCAAGTACTGTATTGTCAGAGCATAACTGATGTCCCAGTCCCCCTCTGCCAGTATGCATTGTAATAAGTTTTGGAATATAGACCTTTGTGCTAGGATATGGTGTCTAACTACAACAGAGCCATCTACTTGTTGCTGCAGTTGGCTGGTTTAATTGCAACTTAACTGGAATATTCAAGACCTGGAATACATTTACTAAACGGACTGAGCATTGCAATACCTGAAAGTTAGTATTCCCTTGACCTTTAGGTGGTTCTCATTTTACAGGGAAGGTAGTAGTTCTTACAGGGAGGCATACCAAGGGGAAAAACTTTTCTAATATTGCCTTGCTTTTAAAAATTTAAGTTTCAAAAGCTGGAATGTAATCATGGTTAGATCAAAGGTTTAATTTTGCACAGTGTGTTGTCTGCAGCACTGGCAGTAAGTGGCTGCCTAAAGAGAGAAAAGAGAAAGGAGGTGTTTAATACTTACTGTGAGTTCTCTACCAGACTTGTGTTCTTAGTTCAGAGGATTTCTTGATCCTTGTGTGATCCAGTCAGTGACTATGGATTTCTTCTGAAGCACTTGTCTGGTCTCCTCTTGAATTCTTGTAAGTTCCTTGCATCTGCAGTACACTTTGGCAGGGAGTTCTGCGAGTGGTAGTCATTAATTCTGTAACTAGAAGAGGCAGCTGATCCTTTCCCACTGTCTCCATGCTACCTGGGATTTTGTAGATCTGTCCACTGCTCCATGCTCCTCTTCCCCACCCCTTCATCGATGGAAGGATCCCATCCTTCCTAGTCAGTGAGCACTCTGAAGCTGTTCCTTTAGCTGTCCTCACTGTCCTTCTCAAACTCTTGTAATCATGACATGACTGGATTTTTAGCTTATGAGACCAGAGCTGTGCGGAGTATTCAGGGTGTGAACAAGTCCTGGTTTTATGCACTGGCATAATGATCATAATCTTTTTCTAGCTAGGATGGCTTTTCTCCAGGGGCATCACTTTAGAGCTGTCAGTGGTCCAGCAGTCTCCATGTGCCTTACTGTTCCACATTTCTCAAGGTATGTCTTTGGTGCAGCACTGAAAGTAGCTGCACCTTCTCCATCGTTGTGCTGCCTCACAGTGTAAAAGATTTCTCATACTGTCCTAACTCCATTCAAAGGGTGATGCAAGGTTAACCACATTAATCTTTTTATTAATAACTTTGTTCTGCCTCTGTCATGTCTGTCTCCAAATGAAAGTAGCTGAGGAGGCCATGAATCTGCATTTGAGATCTTTGACATGACATAGGTAGCTACCTGAGTGCAAGACAAGTATCTAAAAGTGGCATTAAGTGAGGTGTTCTCCTGTCACGTGTTAAGATGTTGTATCTTAAGGTTGAGGCCTGCTATGAGGGAATATGAAGTGATGAAGAGACAAATTATATTAATTGTTCTCTACTTGCATTGTCTTTCACTGTTTTCTGACAGTTGAAATACCTCAGCTGAGACAGTCATTTCCACTTTTTTTATTGCTTTCTTAGATCAGGGGGTTTCTGCTTGCTCAACTTAGAGACCTCTTATCTTTTACTACCCACTCAAATGTTAGGAGGAAGGCCTACCAACGCATGATTTGCTGCTTAACCATCTTTTATGACCCTCCTGGGAGGTAGACTACAGACTTGCAGAGGTCCTGGGATCATCTCTTCAAGGCACTGAGCATGTTTACAGCATATGTTGGGGAGGTAGCGCAGGAAACTTTCAAACAGTATAGACATAGGTGTACTATTCCACATCTTTGGAGTAGAATACAGAATGGGAATATAATTTGAATATGTAGCAATAGCAAGTACCTCTGACGTCTGACCTCTCTTTCCTTGGTCAGGTAAATGGATACTTTTCAGACCCAGGATGGCTGTTTAATACATTGTTGATTGAAGAACAAATAGTGTGATTGCATGGCTGTGCTAGGATAAAACACTAAAGGATTTAAATGTATTTGAAAGATTTCTCCATTGATGCTGCTTCCTTGATCTCTTATTCTGGATCATTGTGGGGGCATCTTATGAGGTGCATGTATGAGAGAATTGACATGGTCTGCAGTGGTGCCCTGAGTACACGTGGTCTGTCCAGGATGTCTCCACCCATTCTTATTGTGGGAGAGTCAAGAAGCTTTTGTGTGCTGTAGAGGAGGGAAGAAACCCTGATGATGTGGTTAACATCTGGACATGACACACAAAGAACTAGAATTATCTTCATTGCCTCTGCTGTTTAAAAACTCTCATGCTATCTTAGTCCAAAGAAGAAAATACATCAAGTTACAAACTGAGGTCAACCTGACTATTTTTCTCACCTGTATATAAGCAATTGCTTCTCACTTTTTCATTATTTTGTAATGCTTGAGATTTCTCAAAACCAGCTACAATAGTTTGATTTTGCTTTAAGTTACATTTCCAGTCACACCTTTAAATGGCTTGGGAATAAGCTTGCCTAGGCTTCTTGTGTTCAGTGATACCCCAGTCAGTGAGTGAACCTTGCAAAACAGTTATAAAACAACAGTTTCTCCAGTTAAAGGAATGCATGTCACTGATGCATGAGTCAAAAAGAAAACTAATGGAGAGAAATGCTAAATTCCATTTATCTTTTAATATCCATTTAGTCCAACCAAACTGATTTCATTCCATGTTAAAGTCTAAAGTGAGACAACCAAATGGAAGGAAAAGTGCTAAATTCCATTTGTCTAAGTGCCCATTTAGTCCAACCAAACTGATGTCATTCTGTGCCAAAGTCTAAACTGAGAGAACTATTATCCTTGTTCACCTCAGTTTGACTTTCTCAATACGTGACTAGTCATCTTCAGCGGGTTATTTTCTTTGAAAAAACAAGATAAATACCTTTTATAGAAGAAGCAGCAGTGTTAAGAGTAGATTAATTTTCTTCCTGTGATGTATGATCAAAACTCTCCCATCCAGAAAAATTACTGAATTAGGCATTTTGAGTTGAGAGGAAACCTGAACAGCATTCAAGGCTTATCACTTCTGCAGTGAGGTTCCCTATAGTAAAGACCAAAGCCTAAACAGCAGGTCCAGTAGAGTTTTTGTATGCAAAATTAAACATCAGAGGGCAAAAGTAGAAAGTATCTGAATTATAGCTAAATCTAATGCTTTATGTACATATGTCAATTCTTTTTGTCTGATAGCATCATTTTTATTTTTTTTTTTTCTCCTGAAGGAGGAAGGATCCTGTGCACCCTTTAGGGCATAGTTAGAAGGCACCTCTTCCATGTAATCTTACCCTGATTTCTCCAATGTGTAACCCTATTGCCTTGCTGTAGCTCTTAGCTGCTTAACTGTAGGGCTTGGTGCCTTGCTCCGTCTCGAGCTTTAGAGAGTTGCATTTCAGATCCCTGTTACGCCAGGCTTTGTGTGCCACTGTTGTGCAGTCGATGTTGCCAGTTCTTACTTACTGCATATTATGTGGTCACTGCTCCGCAGGCAGCTACTGACTTCTTCCACTTTGACAGTTCTTGTCACTGCCATTTTGCTTCATGTGACAATTTCAGTTCTGTGATGCTTCTGCAAGGTGAAAAGTTGTAGCTTTAATCTTTAATACTGTAGATGTATAAAACTACTGGGCACAGGGCAAACATCTCCTGTGTATGGAAAGAATTTCTGTGCAGCAGCAAGGGCGGTCTCAGCTGTGCTGACTTCCCAGGTTCTGAAAGAAGGGAGAAGCTCCACTTGTTCTGTGCTGTTGTGCAGCTCCTGTGCAACACACCAGTGTCTGTAGGAATGTGTTTAAAGTATATCTTATCCTGGAGTACCAGCCTTTTGAGTCCTAGCAGTTTGGCAGCCCAGACTTCATGATACGTGTAAAATAACCGCAAAGTAAACCCCAGTTTTGGAATACTGTGAGTCAGTGCAGATTATAGTGCTGTCTTGTTCAGTGGTGTTTGCACTGTCTCTGATGCACATGGCTGCATTCACATGTACATCCATAGAAAGATTATAGTGGTCCATTGTGTCTTGGTTTCAGATTTCTAGAGTCCTCCATTGAAAACTGGTATTAATAGTGGTAAGGTGAATTTGAAAACACTGACATCTGTATGAGGTAATGATGATTCCTGTTCTGAGGAAGTAACTAGTACCCAAAAGTTGCCCAGTAAAACTACTCTATGGAAATCTTTATCAAATTTTATCCTTCTTGGCTTTTATAGTGTTTATTCTGCTGCAATCACTAAAGTATGGCAAAAAAGGTAAAGGTTGTGATCTCTTCTTGGGTGTCAAGAGGATGTATTTGAGTTGTATATGATGATGGGATGAGCCAGGTTTCTTATCTCCCTAGATCAAGTAAGTGCCCTTTTCCCTTGAGACTTTCCCCCAAGACTGTGTCAGGCTTTTCTTGATGATATTTAGAGTACAGGTTCAGAAGGCTGATTGCTGGTGCAGTGGCTCCACTGCACTGAAGGTCAGTGCCCAAATACCTTCTGCAGTTTCTCTCTTGCAGTGATCTGCAGAACGCTGCTGCAGGCTCCTTCGCCTCTGCCTTTGCCACCCTTGTCCTCTGTCCCACAGAGCTGGTGAAGTGCCGACTGCAGGCCATGCATGAAATGCAGTTGTCAGGAAAAATAGTCCAAGGACACAAGTAAGTATACACCCTGCCCAGTAACTCTGAAACCCTTTTATGTGTGATACTTAATTCTGTATTGGCTTGGTGTCACATCTGTAGTGCACTGTTAACCAGAGAAGAGTTGGGGCTGGGAGGGTTGGAGCCTGGAGGTCTTTGAGGTACTAGTAAAGCTGGATGCCAGTGAAGGGCTCCCAGTAGGATCTTGTTCTGAGTCTTAGTTGAATTATTTTGTCTAAACAATGGGTCTAATCCTTAATTGTTGCTGCAGTTGCCTATCATTCTGTAACCTTCTAGTTATCTGGCTATTAAGCATCACTAACTGGATCAACCTCTCTCTCAGTACAGTTTGGTCAGTAGTGAAGGGTGTTATTCAAAAGGATGGTCCCCTTGGATTTTACCGTGGCCTGTCAAGCACTTTGCTGCGGGAAGTCCCAGGCTATTTCTTCTTCTTTGGAGGGTATGAATTGAGTCGGACATTCTTTGCCTCTGGGAGATCAAAAGATGAGTTAGGTATGGTACCTCTTTTTTCCTGGTGGATTTTAGCATGCTGTCAGGGGGTCATAAAGGGCGTGAGGGGCACATATCTTCCCTGAAGATGTGCTAATGATTCACAGCTGTTGTAAAATAGATGTAAAACAAGGAAACTGGATGTAGAAAATATGGAGGTCTTCATTTTGTGTATATATAGTAATGAATTATTGAAGTGACCACTTTACAGTGGGGCAGAATGTATTCTAAATGGAGAAATAAATACAGTGAGCTAACAGTAATACTACAAAACTACTTAAATATCTGACCCTACAGTGTAACACAACTCTGAACTATTTCATCAGCTGTTTAGAATGATTTACTTTACATCTTTAGCTGTATTCTCTTGAACAGTGAGCATACATGTGAACAGACTGTTAGATATAATTACAATGATAGTAAGAGAGCACTGAGATGGGGAAGTAGAAATTAAAAAATGAAGAGATGCCAGAATAATGACAGCTTGTCTCCTGTTGAAATACTTTGTCTTGCTGGGAGTTAGGATTTTAGCTGCATGCACTCTGGTTGCTGCTGTTACAAAAGGTTTATCAACATCTGATCTGATACACAGAATCAGGTTGCATCATGAAAAATGACTGATCACAAACTGCACTGTACCAAGTAAATCTGTTTAGGTGATTAGTGACACTATGTGATGTTACTCTAATCCATTTCATGATTAGCCTTGGAAAGTGATTACAAGTGTGAAAGGAGTGGAGTTAATGTAGTTAATACAGTCAAAACAGAATTCTAGGTTATGCTTTTTTACATGGTCAGTAATCTAAGAGGCACTCCTTATAACCTTTGAGCTTCTGGTTAGACTTGTGACTTCCCAGTGGCTTAAAATTAACTTAAAGGTTTGTGGGGGAGCAGAAACTGCTTTTCAGTCATAAAGAAAACACAGAGGAGAACACTGAGGAGAACACTGCTTGACTTCTGTAGATGAAATAATGTGATACTTATGTTGGTGGATATTTTGTGGTGTGTATAAAAGCTTTTCTTAACTTCAGGTCCCATTCCTTTGCTACTGAGTGGAGGTTTTGGAGGCAGCTGTCTGTGGATTGCTGTGTATCCCGTGGACTGTGTCAAATCTAGAATTCAGGTTCTCTCAATGGCTGGAAAACAGGCAGGCTTTATGGGGACGTTTGTAACTGTTGTGAGAACTGAAGGTGAGTATGCAGCATATCAACTGAATCTGTAGGGCTACGGACTGAAATCTATACCCTCCAGTACCAAAAGCTGCTTAAGAAATCTAGTCCACTGATAATGTGTTAGAGACAGACAGTGGCTGTTTCTAACAAACAGAAGTATTGATGCTTCATGTAGCCTGGAAAGCTTGGAATCTAGAAATCAAGACCTGCTGCATCTGCCATGCCTCTTGGTTTAGGAGACAATTCACGCTCATTATGCATTAAAAGCAGGTAAAGCATTGAGCTCCATTACCCATCACCAACCCTGTACATGAAAATTGAAATAACCAGTTCAGTAAAGAATTTTTCTTCACCTCTAGAAGTTGATATATGGCTGTTTGGTAAATCAGTCCTATCTGGCCTGGCAGCTTGGGGCATCTATCTCAGTGTCTCATCTCTGGAACTGCACCAGGCACTTCAGAAGATGGTGAGAGAATGTACATGGCAGCAGATACAAAATCCTGGCCCTGTTGCTAGGGAGGATAATCATCAGAGTGGGACTCTGATGTGGGGCACAGCTCCAACAGAGTCCTGTTCTTTTTCTGTCCCCTTGCCAGCTGTGGTACAGCTGCTGTGAATGGATTCCCCGGATGGCCAAGGTAGTGTTCTGAAAACCTTGTCATACCTGAGATAAGTTTCTAATGTAAGCACTGGGATGGCTAAACTCATGTTAAAACTTCAGATACTTGTCTACCACTATCCAGTAACATTGTGGTTAGCAGCTTCACCAGCGAGTTCAGCTCTCTGTGCATGCCCCTCTAAGCAGAAGCATTACTTCAGTATCCTTCAAAGGTAAAAGTACAGTGGTTGATGTGGATAAGCAATTTAATAAATTGCTAACTGGCTCCAATTTCATTTCCAGGTGTACTTGCCTTGTATTCTGGACTAAAGCCAACTATGATCCGTGCATTCCTGGCCAACGGGGCACTGTTTCTTGCCTATGAGTACAGCCGGAAACTTATGATGAAACAAATAGATTCGTACTGATACCTTCCAGCAGATGGAGAACAAATGGTTGTTTAAGGATTATTTAAATAAATGATCAAAAGCCTGTAGATCACATCATGGTCTGAGTAGGGCCAAAACAGTGACCTAATTTTAGGAACTCAACTCCAGTTTAGGATTTGTAATCTTTTAAATTCAGGTGATTTCTATAGATGTGTACATGCTGCTTAAATTGGACCAGCAGGATTATCTCCATCTCGCAGAGTCTGCACTAGGTACACTGCATGTCATAAATCTATTTTCCTGACCTATAATGGTGCTAAAAAGACTTCATGTTGACCTGTTGGGTTTAATGTAACATGCAGCAGTAGGCTGTGTTTTGTTTAAGACAAAGCACTGTTTTAAGATCTGTGCTGTGGTGGTGCACTTTCTCAGATGTTGCTGACAAGTGTCTGACTCAGAGTAACAGCAGTCCTGTCTAATCTTGCTGAGTATGGCTGACTTCTACATATCCCTCATCTAGATGCCTGCCCTTCTCCAGCTCTCTTCTGCTCTCTGACTTTCCAGGGTCATGGCAGGCAGTGTCCAACTTGTGTACTCTGGGCTTATAAAATAGGAAGTGTTCACCCCTTACCTTTACTTGTATGACTTGGAGCCTGAGGTATGCCTGTATTTGAGATAAAAACATGTAGTTACTGGGTTTAAGGAGTCCATGCAGCATTTTATTTTCTAAATCCTTTTGAGAAGTGCTGGAGTATACTAAGCACCACTGAATTAAGCACTTAGTGTAAGGGAGACTGTTGGAAATAGCTGCTGGTGCTGAGCACAGAATTGTAGCTTTGTGCAGGCTCCTGGTTGGGTCACCTTGATGTGAGTGAGTCCATGTGCTTGAAGGGCAAGAAGCTGAAGAGGAGCAAAAAGTCAGGACTGAGGTTTTAAAGACAACTGACACTGTCGTCTCCATGGCGTAACATGTGCTCACTTGGGCTGGAGTCCTGCCACTTGCTGTGTCTCCTTCAGCGGAGTGGAAAAAGCTCATATGACTGGATAGTTTGTATCACCTTCAGGCCTGGAGGGCATGACTGCTTGGTCATGTTACTTGATTAAACATGCAGTGAGTGTTACCCAAAATAATGCAGGAACACCTATTTCTAGATGCCACTTTGATTCTTGAAGTAGGATGTTCTTTATACAAGCAACCACTGCTTGTAAGAGGCAGCTACTACCTATCCTGGGAGAAGGCAAAGCAGGTCTCAGCAGCACAGTGCAAGACTCAGGCCTGGAGTTGGACAGGGGGACACTGCTGTGACAGCCCACCCTTGTGGAGGACACAGAGTGCTCAGATCCACCAAAATCATGGATTAGCACAATTTGTCAGTGACTGACAGCAGTCACAGCTGGAAGAGCTCAATTTTGCATGTTACAGCTTCCCTTTCAGATCCCAGAAACAGGAAAAAGCTTTAGGCATAGGTGAAAGCATGTCACTACCTCCTGCCTCTTGCAGTGCAGCCAGGGTGTGCTTAAACTGGCTCCTCCACTGCACTGAAAGGTGGTTGCTGCAGTTCCACAGACTCTTCCTGCTTGCCCAGCCTTCACATGCAGCAACAAACTGTTCATTCCCCCTTTCATACACCCATGAGATGAGGCAGTTAGAGCAGGGTGTGGTTGGAGAATCTTCACTGTCTTGCACCAATTCACCTTGACTGGTACATTAGGGGCAGTATTACTGTACATTGTCAGTACTTCAAAAGGAATTTATACCAAATGTTTAAATAATCCAGGTAGGAGGGTGAAGCTTTAAGAGTTGTTAGACTTCCCCTTCTTTTCAAAGGTGTCTAGCCAGAGAAAGTATATTTGTACATGTTTCTAATAGTTATGAAAAGTTGAAGATTGATTCCACATCGGTGGAATATTTCAATCTATTTCTTAGATTTGTCTTTGCTTTCATTTTTTAAAGCTCATGGTTGCAGTTTTTAATACAAAAGTTGAAGCTTCAAGAGAAGCATGATATTTTGAACTGAACCTCCAGCAAGAAGCTGGTGGCTGAAATAGACACAGTTGGAGAGTTTATCTCTTGAAGGTGATATAAGCAGTAATTTTTCCATTTACAGCTGCTTAAACTGTACACATGTATTGGTTGTTCAGCTAAGAATAATGTTGGCAGAGGAATTAATGGGAATAAAGTTTGATTTGATTAACTGCATATCTGACTATTGTTTATGCAACAATAATTAACAAGCTTGTTCACCTGAGGAGCAAAGAGAGGGTGGAGTTGGTGTCACCACCCTTCCAGAAGTAACAGGAAAGATTTTTACAATCAGTGAATGTAATAAAGCCCTCAAAACTGAAGGGAAAGTGTCAGCCACAACAAGGTGCTGTGAAACAGCTGCAGATTTTTACATAATCTACTATGGAAAATAAAGCCCATAGTTTGGCCTTTAGCTTTGTTAGTACCAAAATCAGTTCTAAGAGTAAGGTTCAATTCCACTTCCAAGTGTCTGTCTAGATTGTTGAGTACCATGATATACTCTTAAGGGTCAGTTTCCTGCCAGAAGAATGCCAGAAGTCCAGCACAGGTCCCCTAAATTCCACATAGGTAAGGGATGAGTGTCTATTACCTTGAAGCCAGAGCTTCAGGGAGTTTAGGAACTATTGTTAGCATCTTCTAAGCAGTGTTACTTGGATCTCTCTAAGAGAAATGTAGTATCTCCTACATACAGCTACTTAGTTTTTACTTAACTGTGCTTTAGCTAGAAAAATCTTGATGTTTGCTGTTACAGCCTTTGCTGCTGCTACACAAGATTAGTTTACTCCATCAGCAGGAAGAAGGTTCACCTTAACTGCCCTGTAAGCTATTAGAAAGGGCATCCTAGGACAGCGATATGCATTTGCCTGAGCTAAGCCAAAAGTAACTTAGTCATCAGCCACTTCAGGCTTCAGTAGGAGGACATCCTCTTCCAGCTCCTAGCACATCCAGTGCAGACACAGCCCTTGTCTGCTGCCTTGCTCCATCGCCCTCTAGTGACGCAGCTTTGGTCTCACTCCTGTATCAGTGGGCATTTCTTCCTTTTCTCTAGCCGAGATGCAAGGCTTACATGAACTTTGCCAGCACCCCATAACCTTGAAGGGCAGTTTATGTGCAACACCACATGCAGCCTCTGAAGCATTGCAGGAGCTGACCGTGAGCCAGTGCACCCTTGCAAAGGTGAGCTCTGCTCAGAGCCACTGTATTGGTCAGAGCAGATGGGGAATACCACATCTAATTTCATGATCCACAGTACAAGAACAGCAGTGACATACTAAAGTAAGTCAAGCAGAGGGCAGTGAGGATGCATGGTGGAGAAAGCACTTTGTTCACACATAACAAAGCTGAGGAGGTATTTTGCTGCAGGCTACAGTTCCCTAGTCATGGGAGGGGGTAGAGCCAGGCTCTTCTCAAAGACATGCAACAGCTACAGCCTAGAACATAGGAGTTTCCAACCAGTAAGGAAAAGTCTTATGTGAAAACCCTACCTACAGGGATATATGGTTTGCATAGAAGCTTGAACTATGTAAGCGACCCTGGCTCACTATCCTGCACCTCAAGCTGCACACAGTTGGTAGAATGCTGTTGGTCATTCAAGAGAGATTTCAGCCTCCACCCCTGAAGTACAGTGTAGACAGAAGTGGCTTCCAACAGGCTGGCTCCTAGATACCAGGTAATTACACAGCAACAGCAAAAGTTGAGTCCACACATGTACTTCGTAGTGTACCACTACCCTCAAGTGAGCTCAGGAAGGTATGTTATTTCTCTGCTTACTTCATTAACTAGGTACCAGCTAGGGAAAGGTGTATCACTGCCCTTTTGCCCTTGGTTCCTAACAATAAAAGGACTAAGGAACAGAACCAAGAAGTTACCTCACCACATTTCACATTAAGGAAGACATGAACAGTCTCCACAGAAGAGCTGCACTACTGTGAACAGCTGGAAACAGAATAAGCATCCTGGGGGTTTGTAGATTACAGGTTTTAGTATAGCTCAAGAGCTCAGTGAGCAATTGCATGCAGTATTAGCTCAAAGCAGCAAGTCTTCAGATTAAAGGTATTAAGGCAAGCCTGGCTAACTGACCCCAGGCAGCTGGCACCCTCCTGAGCTGATGAGACCCAACCTGCAGGAAGGGTGAGGGCATGTGGTCATCTCAGCCCTTGGAGTGGAGGTACAGCAGCAGAGAAGCAGCCATGCAGTCTCCAACACCCACAGTCAGGTCCCAGGCCAGGTGTTGCTCAAAACCCTACATCACTGGATTGCTGATGAAGACTTCTACTCTAGAAGTGTTAATCTGATACAGGCAGACCGATACTTGTCCCTCCAAATTCCAATATTCTACTGACCTGTGGAAAACCCTGATGCCAAGAGAAGGTGTATCAGATTTTTCCAGCAGTCTCCTGCAGACTGCTGGTCTCCACTCACCATCAGGTTAATGCTCTTGTTTAAAAGACAGACAACTGTCTTAGATTAATACAGTAGGGATTACCTGTATGTAGAGACATCTAAACTCTAAAGGAACTAAAAGCTCATTAACATGACAATCAGCTGACAGTAAATCAGAGTATTATTGCTCTGCACAACAGAACTTCATGTAAGTTTATTTGAGAAGTTGTATCTACACAGAAATACATTAAGTGCATCTAAGTGAGACTGCTTCACTTTATACTGAAGCAGCAAGACACTCTCCAGGAAAAGAGATTAATTTTGTGTTTCCTTTTTTTTCAGCTTTCCCTTATGGTTCAATAAAGTTCACTTCCACAGCAAATGTCTCACTATAGACTTTCCATGTTTTAGACTTGTGAGGGTTGTCCAGCTCATTCCTGGGAAGGTACAGTCTGAAAGACAAAATTCAATATATCTTAGGCTAAAAGACAAGATTTTTCTTTCAGACAGCGAAGAGAACTTCAAGCTCAGCCCTGAAGTATTAAATATAGCCCCAGATCTTGAATTCAGACAGGTATCAGCCATGCCTGCACAGGGTTTGAGATGCATAGTCTCAGAAACATACAGTCAACCTAATGGGTTTGTAAATTGTTTTGTTTTTTCTTCCAGAGCCCTACAATGCAATATTGTTAGAGTAACTAACTGTTACATTCAGCCCAATGCTTCCTGATGGATACAACTGGCAGGAATTTAATAACTGTCCTTCCTCATGGCAAGGATTTGATTCAGTATTCAGTCAAGCTCATCAGGCACATTTCCCACTTTTAATGCTTACCAAATTCATGTCTAGTTATCACTTAATAGCACTTGTACATCAGCTGTGGCTGAATTAGAAAGACATAAGCACTGCCCTAACAGCAGTTTCGTTTCTGATCAGACCTAGTCCCCCATCAGGTCTATCAGAATTTTCTAAGCAAAAAGGGAGACAGTCTCTACTCTATTTAAGAGAAGGTCTGGTGGGACATCCTCCCCAGCCCTGGAAGAAACAAAGCCCTTGGGTGAAGCTATTGAGATGGCACAGTTGCAAGGCTGTCAGACAGCAGGCATACATTTCTCCTGGCACTGTTTGATCTAACCAGCCTGCAGACTCGATGTCTGCACCTAGAATGCATGGTGCATTGCTGGCTCAGCCTATTAAATTTAGAGTTATGAACACATACTCATGGCTTTCTCTCCTCATGCTCTGATGGGATCTGTTCCTCTGTCTAAATCTGTCAAGTCTGATAGACAGAATATCTCTTGTCTCTGCATTTCTACATCACTCCCCTAGTGAGACAGACAAGCTCAATTTTCAGTGTCTGGAGCTCCCCCAGGAGTTCTACTCTCAACAAGAAAATCACAGTAATTTCTTACACTTTAACTAAAGCATAGGTAGTAAAAGAGCCTTTCTTTGGTATCCCAACCATCAGCACCTCTAACTCTGGTCTTGATGTTGAGCTACTAAGCTGCTGAATGAGTTCCAGCCTCTCAGGCAGCCATGCTATAGAGGATGGCAGAGTTGCCTTTGCTTTGAATAGTTAGCATTACCTTTTTGAATTCAAGTATATTAGTAGTACTTAAAGTGCTGAGGAAAGACTCCAATGGATTAAGTTGATGAAGCTAAGAGCTCACATGTTTAAAACACTTGCCACAGTGCAAACAAGTGTGCACCAACTGCCTGCTCACAAGCTACAGTTGAGAGTTAGAGACCAGTACCCACACCAAAGTTAGGCTGAATCAGCCACCTATCTCAGCTATGTTTATGAACTTCCACCTCTCTTCAGACACCAGCAGCTAGGATCTGAAGGCAGTTGCTATGATCACTTACCTGTTATTTTCAATAAAGGAAGTGTTGAACCAGAAAAAGAATGGGCAGTTGTCATAGCCTTTTGGGAGATCCTAAAAGGAAAGGCCTTGTTTAAGGACTCCATTCCACAAAACTACTATTTTTGCAGAGCAAGAGTACCTACCTGTCCTCAGTAGTTTGGTTTACAAAGCTACAGTGCCAGAGTCAGTACACTTTAAGAACCCTGTATCACACCCAGATCACTATTGTCACTGAAGTTACTTTAGGACTAGGTCACTCAAACAATACAACAAAGTGAGACACCCATGGTAGAAGCAGCAGGTACTCAACTAAAGTGTCTTGGTTGTACTGTGTGAACAGCCAGACACCTCTCCTGCTGGCTCAGGCTGATGTAGCAGCATTTTCTGCATCACTCACTGCACAGTGGGGCCACTCCACACAGAAGGAGTCACTGCAGAGGAACACAGATTCTGCACCCCACAGCACAGCCAGTCCAGCTGCAGTTTACACTACAGCCTCTCCTCATACTCAAGTGAAGGTCTTCATGCTGTTATACTTACAGAGAGCGATTCAAATCTGACTTTCACATCACCACTTATAACAGGACTGTCTTCCAAGCCAATGACTACAGAGTCACTTTCGGAATCAAGGAAGAGCTGGATGACAAAGTAAAGTATTACATTAATGAAAAGCTACTGCAGAGACAAGGGACCAATTTATGACAATACCTAACTACTCATTCATGGTATACAAATGCAATAGCAATGTCAGAATAATAGCCAGCAATTTAAGCCACTCAGGTCAGAGTGAGTTATTGCATTTAATTGACTTCTAGCAAAATCTTTCACTATCTTACCACTACTTTTCCTGCGATTTAGCAAAGCTTAGCTTTTTCATTCTCTCAGAATTTACAGCATCCATTTATTTAGAGAGTTTTATGT